CATTGTTAGAAGCAAACAAGAGTGTATATGAACTGTTCATAGAAGAAAGCGACTTTGAGTGTTTAGATGAAAGGTCATTGTACGATGAATATAAACAGTATTGTCAAGAATATGGTTATATGGCAGCTTCTAAACGTACATTCTTGGCAAATGTCAAAAATCTTTTAGACATACAGAACGGCGTATATACAAAGAAAAATTTTTCTGAGTAAATTTTAAAAATATATATATTTTTATTTTATTTGAAATGTACGCTGAGTTTGTTGGAACAGACCTAGATAACGAAAATAGATATGCGCTATTCTGGTTAGATTGTCCTTATGAAATGTATGAAAAAAAGGCTTTATATGAAGAATATAGAAAATATTGTCATGAAAACGATATAAGACTAAGCTCTAGAGAAAAATTCTATGCTGGTATAAAACATCTTTTCGAAGTTCGGAATGGCAAATATAGAAAGAAATAATTTTTATGAGTAAATTTTAAAAAAAATATTTTTTTATCCGATAGAAAAGATGACGAAATATATTTCAGTCAACAAATATATGTCAGGACTTAAAGAAGAACTAGACCCATTCGCTTATTTGAATGTTTACTTCTACCATTTTGAAAAGTCTACATTTGACAAAGTTTGGAACATCGAACCAGTTAAGTTTGCTATTGTGACTAAAAATGGTGCGAAATTTGAAGACTTAGACATAGAAGGTTTGTTAGCAGTCAAAGAAAATTTTGACAGAAGGTTCTCAAACCTTAAAGAAGGCAAAGCATACAAACTTGTTATACCTTATGAACCAAAGAAAGCAGACGACTATGAATATTATGAGTCTAAGATAGTTGAAGTTCAAGGTAAATTGGGTAAAAAGATTTTAGAGTCTAAGCCAGTGTTTGCTCCTAAAGAGGAAGAGAACATTGACATTGACCCAGAAATGTTCTAAAAATAAAATTTTATTTTTACATGTCAAATTTCTTTTTCTCTGGAACTGGTTCAGGTTCTTTCTTCTCTTCTTCTACTTTCTTTTCTTCTACTTTCTTTTCTTTCTTTTCTCTCTTCTTCTTCTCTGGTGGAGTTATGTCAAATTTGGCGCAACCATATTTATGTAAAAGTTCTTTGTCCTTTAATAGCTCTTCTATTCTGTTTTCTATTTCATCTTCAAGAACAGCGCATGTGCCTTCTTTGCATTCTAAGAACTTTTGTTGGACTTCATCTCTCCAAGAGGCGTCATCTCTGTCAACAAGTCTGTCATTGACAAATTTTAAGACTTCTCTGCCTAATGTTTTATGGTTCTTGTCATATTCCCAGAAACAGAACTTTAGAACAAATTCACCTTTCTTGTTTACACTATGTAAGATTTTATGGTCGACAGAAGTTTTAGAGTCGAAAAGTTTGTCTCGAATATAGATAGCGAAATCGCTAGACATTTTCTAAAAGATAAAATTTTTAATTTTTCTAAAAATATGTTAGAAAAAAAGTTTGCTGACATTGACAAGAAATTTGAGAATGTTTTAAACAAGAACAAGAGGAAGTTAGAAAATGCTCAGATAAAGCCTATACATGAAAAGTTCTTATTTGCTCAGAATGGTATAACAGGTCTAATTGCACCACCTGGGTCGGGTAAGACTTTCACTTATCTTAAAATGGCTGCACAACAACAAGAACTAGATGAGAAGAACCCATTCTATGAGTTAGTTGTTATTTGTTCGACTTCTGGTCAATTTGACCAAACCGTCAATTCGTTCAAAGATATTATAAAGAAGTCTAAGTTAGTATGTATAAAGGATACTGAGTTGTTAGATTGGATAAAGAAGTACCAAAGAAGAGTTTTGAAGTATAATGCTATAAATGAGTATATAAATTCTAAGTTTAAAGACCCAAATGAGGAAATGCAGAGAATATTAGAGAAGAAACACTTCAGAAACAAACAGAAAGAGATAGAATACATTTCGAAGAAATTGCAATCTTACGATTGGAAGACTTACCCTCATAGATGTCTTCTTATCTTAGATGACTTTGCTTCTCATCCTTTGTTAAAGAACAGAGAACAAGACATGTGTCGAATTCTCAAGAAGCTCAGACACTTTAACATTTCAGTTGTCATTTGTGTACAGACAGCCAAGAGTTTAAGTAAGGATGTAAAGAGAATACTTACTGATATCATACTTTTCCCTGGATTGTCCGAAGACGATTTCATGGAACTTATGAAAGAGTCCATGGCAGGTAAGTTTGACAGACATGAACTATGGGAGAAGTACAAAGTCATACAAGACCCTCATACTTCTTTCAGAATTCATATCTACGCAAACAAAGTTCAAATTGTAAAAAGTCAAGCTTGAAAAATAAAGAGTTTTAGTCTTAGTCTGTTGTGGTGCTGGGGCTGTCGGTTCTTCTGGCTTTGGAATGGACTCGGTTGGTGGTACGTCGGACATTCGTTTGTGTCCTGTCGGAAGGAAGAACTTTTCCTGTTGGAAGGAAGGACTCGGAATGTCGGAAGGAAGAACTTTTCCAGTTGTCGGGAAATTTTTTTCCTGTCTGAAGGAAAAATTTTTTCTGTCGTTCGACCAAAAAGTTCTCAATTTTCGAAAATTTGAATGGTTTACGGACGGACAACAGGAAAATTTTTTCCAGTTGTCGGGAATTTTTTTTCCAGTTGTCGGGAAATTTTTTTCCAGTTGGAAGGAAGAACTTGGAATGTTGGAAGGAAGGACTTGGAATGTCTGAAGGAAGGACTTGGAATGTCTGAAGGAAGGACTCGGAATGTCGGAAGGAAGAACTTGGAATGCCAGAAGGATTTGACAAGACAATTGACCTTATAGAGCTACCTGAGCCATCTTTGGTGTCAAGCGTAAAAATAAATGGTTCATCTACTCTACTTGTTTGAAGTTGTCAAAATACTCTGTTATTTTTTCCTTTAACAATGGCAAATCTTCTTTGAAGGTAAGTATTGTACAACCTTTCATATCATAGTGTGTTTGAGGTAACGTATCTTGAACTATTTGTTTCACATCTTCATTTGGGGTCATTGAAATCGGTAAGTTTTCGCGATAGAACCAATTTCTGTCAGATTTATAAATCTTAGCAAGGTCGTAAAAGCTTTTGTTGTTTCTTCTGACTAAATGCAACATAACCATATCTCTGTCTTCTTCATTTTCCATCTCTTCAGTATAAATCATATACTTATAGTTCTTTTCCTTTCCTTTTGGTACCGAACGTGGTATTCTTTTCTGAATGCTTTTGTCTTTTGCTTCAAGCTTGTTCTCTAGCTCTTCACGTTCTTGTCTATGAATTTCGTCAAGAAGTTTACAAACATACCATGAATAGCGAGCTGAAGCCCATTGTGCCACATTATTTACGAGAAGTCTATGAACATAATATCCTCTCAAACCATTTGGCAATTTTTCACGATTTTCATAGAGTTTTGGCGACTGGGGTTTTTTACTTACTCGCTGTTCTTCACTGTTTTCATAGAGTTTTGGCGAGTAAGATTTTTCTCGTAGTCGCTGTTCTTCACTGTTTTCAGAAAAAAGTATGTCTCGCTGTGCTTCGCTCAAAAGTTCTTGTGTGCTTTGGTTCCTAAACCAGTCTTGTGGTTTCTTAGTATCTGGAGCAAAACATGCTGTCAAAATACTTTGCATTTGGTACATGTCATCTTTGACCGAACGAATGAGACGGAGTTGTTTGTTAAACTGAACCCACTCATATTCTTCATTTATAGCTTCATGAACGATAGCAGTTGTTGTGTTCTCGGTTGTTGACATATCTGTCTTTATATTCCGGATAAAAAAATAAAAAAAAATAAAATTAACTTTATTTTTTCTATCTTAAGGAAATTCATGAAATTTGTTGCTGAATTCAATAAAAATATAATTTAGGGTAGATGGGTATATCTACCCTCTTTTCTACCCTCTTTTCTACCCCAGTTATTTTATAAACGTTTTACATGGTAAACGTTATTTTTACATGTATTTTTCAGCAACTTCGTCAAATAATTTTATAGCTTTATCTATCTCATCTACTTCAAACGTTTCCCTACCTTTCGTGGGAGCACCATACATCTTCTCAAACTTTTCAAGTAGTTCTGTTTCAGCAGCTCTCATATCGTTAACAAACACAACCCTGACTCTATTGACTGTACTGTCATATCTTAGAGTTATATTATATGTTCTTCCTATCTTATATCTTTTTGTGTTGAAGTCCTTCGGTTTCTGAACGATGTAAACTAAGCCTTCACTGCAACGTTCAGTATCGAATGAACCATATGTTATGAAATTATATCCAACAACTGGGTCAATCCAGAACAAAACTAGTGGTATAAGACTTTTGTCTATAAGATATGTTCTTGTTCCATAGAATCTTACCGATATCATAAGCTCAGGATTTTTTGTCAAAATTTTCTGAGTAGAAGCATTTCTAACCCAGTCGTGGGATGTTTTCTTTTCAGATAGTGTTAGAATGTCTGACAAGGAATATTTTTTGTATTTCTTTGAGTATCTTACGTTTAAATCACCAATTCTAACCACTTTGGTGTCATTGTCTATCTTTCTAACTGTTTCAAACTCAGTGTTTGACATTTCCTGTTCTTACATACAAAATAAAAAAAAATATTTTAAAAAAACTAGCTTTTATTTTCTATCTTAAGGAAATTCATGAAATTTGGTCATTTTTTTACGATTTTCATGTGTTTTAGGCGTTCCTCGGTTTTCCGCGGGTCGCAATTTTTTACGATTTTCGAATGGAATCTCTATCCTCGGTTTTCCGAGGGTAGCAAACATATGAGGAAATTCATGAAATTTGTTGCTGAATTCAATAAAAATATATTTTAGGGTAGAAGGGTATATCTACCCCGTTTTCTACCCTCATTTCTACCCCATATGTCCTTACTGAAAAAGTATGTGTTCCATATGTCATTTTACTCAGAATTTTACTCAGAATTCAATAAAAATATATTTTAGGGTAGAAGGGTATATCTACCCCGTTTTCTACCCTCTTTTCTACCCCAGTTATTTTATAAGCGTTTTACATGGTATATGTTGTGATGGTTCATGACTTTAAACAGTTTTGTAGCTTCTATTTCTTCACGAAGGATATCAAAAATTTTAACTATGCCGAAGGTTTCTTTATATTTCTTCTTGACATCTGAAAGAAGGAAATCGTTAGCAGTTGGATAGTTTTTGTTCAGAAATGTCAACATGTCCATTTTATCTTCTGCTGGTTTCTCTACTTCTTTCTTTAAGTCAGTATGGTCTTTTCTCATTCTTTCTATCTCTTTGACGGAGTAGTTATATTTCCTTGTTGCTGCTTTACATTTTGAACATTGTGAGTTCATTTTTGCGTTATATTCTGAAATTTGTCCTGCTAGTATGACTAAGGCGTCAATTGCTCTCTTTAACTCAAAAGTTGCTGGTTTTATCTGTTGGTTCCATACCTTACCTCTTCTATCTTTATCTCTTATCTGCAAGACACACTCAGCAACTAACGAAACAAAGTTGTCGTAGGTCTTAAATTCTTCAGATTTATATATGTCCATAACTTTATGGTTGCAATGAAATCCAAGGAATTCATAGTTTACCTTTCGTATGAACTTCTTTATTTCTACTGAGTCAGTCAGTCTGACTTCAATTTCATCGAATTCTGGAATAGTGAGTTTTTGTTGTTGTATTTCAGGTAGTTTAGGCAAATGGTCTATAATATCTTGCATTTCATAAAGATACTGTTCATTTGTTTCATCTTTTGCACTACAGTCTAAATCTCCTTGGAGAAGTTCTTGCTTTATCTTCTGGATTTCTGTTTCGAAAGTATATGAAGAAGGAATGAAGCTTTTCATCTCTACTAACATTGAAGTTGGGTTCATGACTAACGAGTTTGGTGAAGTTGTTGCTAACATGTTCTTACAATAAAAATAAAAAATATTTTTTTATTGAATTCAGCAACAAAATTCAAGAGTTTTGTGTGTTTTCTACGATGGTAGAAAAGAGGGTAGAAAAGAGGGTAGAAAACGGGGTAGATATACCCTTCTACCCTAAAATATATTTTTGCCGAATTCATGAGTTTTGGTTGAAAGAATACGGTGGAGCCAAAAGTGGCTCGACCTCAAAACAAGCATTTTCTGTATAAATTTCATGAAAATTCATGAGGGTAGAAAAGAGGGTAGAAAACGGGGTAGATATACCCTTCTACCCTAAAATATATTTTTATTGAATTCAGCAACAAAATGGTTCATTTACTCACAATATTTTTGTACAAAACAACCCCAAACTTTTAACTTCTTTTCTGCAGCTTCTAATGCTATCTTAGCGAGTTCATATTCTCTAAATTCTCTCTTTAAATCTTCTTGTTCCCATTGGTCTAGTTCGTATGGAGAATCTCTATAACCAGAACATATCTCACGTTCATGTTCTATTTGTTTTTCGCACATTTTTCTAACTTCTTGTTCGAACAAAGGTTTTGCATTCTCTACTGTATCTTCAAGTTCTTCTTCATCTAACTTCTCATGAACTTTCTTGTCTATGGAGTCCAGAATTTTTCCAACTGCTATACAATATTTTGGAGAAGCCCACATTGCTATATAGTTTACAAGTCTTGGGTCTACATACATTCCTCTAACCTGTTTGATTTCATCCGGAATTCCTGCATGAACTTTGTATAAAAAGCAACCCGCTGTTTTCCGCGGGTTGGTATATTCTTCACAAAATGCCTTAAAATACTCTTCCCAGGACTTATTTTCCAACAACCTTCTAAAGTCTTTCCTAAACTGCTGACACATATTTGTTGCATTTACATAACCATCCTTGTCTCTACGTAAGACTTCAATACCGTTGTAAGTGCCTTTTGTGAATGTTTCGCCATTAGATTTGTTCGTGAACGTTTTTGCTTCGACTGACATTTCTGTTCTTACAATAAAAATAAAAAAATATTTTTTGGTGGGACGTCGGACATTCGTTTGTGGCTTAACCGTCGGACCACAACGATAAAAATCTCTGCTCCTAGCAGTACTGCTACTGACAGTAGCAGTACTTTTACTGACAGTAGCAGTACTTTTTCTGACAGTAGCAGTACTTTTACTGACAGTAGCAGTACTTTTACTGACAGTAGCAGTACTTTATCGTCGAAAACCCTCTCAAATTTTCCTTTTTACTGCAACTAGCAGTACTTTTACTGACAGTAGCAGTACTTTTACTGACAGTAGCAGTACTTTTACTGACAGTAGCAGTACTTTTTCTGACAGTAGCAGTACTTTTTCTGACAGTAGCAGTACTTTTTCTGACAGTAGCAGTACTTTTACTGACAGTAGCAATGGACAACATCGAGCCATTAGATGAGGCAATTTACCTAATTGAAATTAACGAGCTTGTTAAAGACTTCCTCAGGCAGAATGTAAAAGGCAAGCTTGTTAACTGTTGGATAACGGGAAGGGCTGCCTTGAATCTCGAGACTTCGACTGGAATTCCAATTCAAATACCAGACGGGACAGCCTACGACGACATAAAGCAAGCAAAGAAGGAAGCTCTTCTCAAGTTCTTTGCCAAGCGTCCTTGGATACAACTTCCAAACAGAGAGAACCCTTTCCCAAGAATGAACCAAATTCTCAAGGGTCTCCTTCACTTCTCGGGTCAGCCGTTCTACATAACCTGTGAAGGCGACATCCAACCAGTTCAGTAAACCTTAACGTTTAACTTCACTTTTTTCTATCTTAAGGAAATTCATGAAAATTCACCTGTTGAATTTTGTATAAAAAGCAACCCGCTGTTTTCCGGCGGTTGGTATATTCTTCACAAAATGCTTGTTTTGAGGTCGAGCCACTTTTGGCTCCACCTCTTTTTTCACCTAAAATATATTTTTCAATACTTTTTCAGCACTTCTCCGTAGTTATATATGAAAGACAATTCGAGATAAAAGTCGTAGTACAATGGAACAATATGTTGCACACCATTTGTTGTGAACCAAACTTGAAAGTCAGAGAAACTGTTACTAGGTGGTTCGTAGAATTTAGAAGCAAAGTCATAAAAGTCCTTACCAATACATAGAAAACTGTTGTTGCTTGAACTGAAACTTGCATGACACATGACATTTTGAGGGTCAAACACGTTTCTATAAACTGTCAAATCTGCTGGTGGGCGTATAAACCAGAACGGACCGTCAGGTGGTAATGGTTCGTTCTGGTTTAGTAACCGAAGAAATTGTGCCCAAGAACGTTTGTCTACTTGCCAAAATAAAAACTGTGTATCTCTTGGAGGGTTATTTTCAATCCTTTGAAATGAAACTGTGGAGTTCATCTTGTCATATTCTAGTTTCAGATAGTATGTTCCATTTAGTAAAGAATCGTATTTTTCTTGAAATTCCCAGTAGTATTTGTTTATTTGAGTTTGAAAGTCATTTAGAGTCTTCTCAAGACTTTCGTCTGAACGAACTGTAAAGATTCTCATTTCGTCAAATTTGTCTAGTAGACCATCATGACCTCTATACCGCCCATGAAAATATACCGCAAACATAAACGCGTTAGTTCTTTTTGAAAACAAAACTCTTCTAAATCCTATTGCCTTTGCATCTGAAGGACTTTGAAGCCAACGAATTGGATAGTCAAACCTGTAAGCTCCGGATGAAATTTCTTCATCTGATATAGTCCTACCAGCGTTTGTAAAGATATAGTCTAACGGTTTTGTATCTGCTACTTTTGTTCTTTGTTTTTCAACCTGAAACATTTAATATATGTAAAAATATACTGTTTTAAAAAAGTATGCCATATAGCTTCTTGAATTTGTTAAGATATAGTCTAACGTATTTTCCATCTGTATCTCTAGCGTTTACATAAGCACAGCCCGCCTTAGTAAAACATACGTGTAATTTCCTATAGTTTACGCCGGTATAAAAGTAGAAAGAGTCCTGTTCTTCGCTATAGTAGTAAAACTCAAACGTATGCTTACCATAGTCTGTAATTTCAATTGCTTCATCTTCTAGTTCGTCGACAAATTCGAATACAATATCTCGAAAATTGCTTTTGTTCTTATTGTTTTCAGAACAAGTGACCCAGCGTAAGTTTTCAAGTCTATTGTCGTTTCTTATATGGTTTATATGGTCTACAAAAGGTAGATTGTTAGGGTTCGGTATAAAATGAGTTGCAATGACAACATGTTTAAGATAGTGTTTCCCACCAATCCTCATCCTAGCATATCCGTCATTTTGCTCCCATTCGCTTAAAACTCTTTTTGTCTTTTTGTTTCTGACTTCAAATGACTCAGAACAGTGAATTTCATATTTCTCATCTAACAAACAAGTTTCCCAACGGTCTGTTCCAACAAACTCAGCGTACATTTCAAATAAAATAAAAAAATATTTTTTTGAAAAATAAAAAAATGTTTTTTCTTTACTTTACATAACCACCTGCTGCCATAAGTCTTTGACGCCAACCCATACCAGCTAATGAAGGTTGACTAAACTTTGGTTTTGGTTTATCTTCAGTTTTTGGCTTCCCTTCTTCTATCGGTTTTTCGTCACTTTTCGGTTCCTCTGACTTTACCTCACTTGCAGGTATGGTTGTGTCGTTAACATCTTCATAAATATCATATGCCATTTGTTTTTGTTTTCCTTTCAACTTTTTGTGTTTGTTGTAAAGTTTAGAATATTTCGACTCTAAGTCAATGAGATGTTCTATAATGAACTGTTGGTCAGTGAAGTAAACTTTTCCATCTGTTGTCTCGAAAGCTCCTTCAGACTTCAATATTTTATTTGTGAGAGTCTGTTTCTTTTTTGAGATACTAGCCGTTCCATTTCTATGAAAAGTGACTTTATAGTTAGGGTTTGTATTTCCAGACCTGGCACTTTCTATTATTGAATTTTTCTCTTCATCTGTAAGTTCTTTGACGGGTTTTGACAATGGTTCTGAACTTTTTGTTTGTGGTGTCAAATCTACCGTTTCAACTTCTTCGGTCATTTCATCTCAGTAAAAAATTTTAGTTTGTTTTGTTTTCAACTGGTTGTTTAGGTTTTTTAAGTCGGTCTAAAACTTCCTGAGGTATAGGAAGAACTTGACAAACACGTGGTTGTGTAACTGCTGGAAGCCGACAAATCCATCTTGAACCCATTTGTCTCAAAGCTGTATTGTTCATTTCATCTCAGTAAAAAACTTTACATTCCCCACGTTTGAGGCGGTTGCGGTTGGTTATTGTTTACCCACTGGTTGTGCATGGTTATATCCTCTGTTAAAGAATCTTTCACCTTGGTCCATATAGTGTCCTGCTTGGTTATAGTAGTCATTTGCTTTGTTATAGTAGTTTCCTGCTTCTCTTCCTACATTGTCCATCCATCCTTGAACTTTTCCTCTTGTTTCAGGATTTGGAATAAGATTTGCTGCATCTCGTGCTACCTCCCAACCTTTCTGTACAGTTTGTATAATAGGTTGTGCTTTCTCTTTAAGTATACCTAATGTACTCAAAATCTTCCTTCCAACTCCAAATACACCTCTGGCTATTGTTCCCACTGCGGGCAAAAATCTGGATGCAACTCCTGCTAATGCGCCAAATAAACCCATTTCTTATAGGGTAAAAAATGACGAATCCAAACAAGGACCCCTATGTTTCTAAAGCGACAAAGAAAGCACTCATGGTAAAAATCTTTAGTTCAACACCAAATGCTTGGTTTATGGATATCTTGGAAAACATTCCGAGGTATAGAGAAGATGGACCACCATACTGGCTAATATTTGTCGGTCAAAACACAAGATACTGTGAAGCCATACCATTATGGTCCAAAAATATTTTAGATGTGAAAACTGCTTTGACAATATTCGTTGACAAATACCATCCAACAAAACTGACATCTGACTGTGAACGTTCTTTCAAATCAGACGATATTAAAAACTATCTGCGTTCAAAAAATGTAAACCAATATTTCATTGTCGACCAAAACCATTCTGCTCTTGGTGTCATTGACAGTTGTATAAAAATCTTAAGAGACTTAAATCAACCACAAGGTGGTGAGGTAGATGAAATGTCATATGACGACAAATATAGGCACTTCTCCATGGCAAAGATGAGACAAGTTTTAAATATTTACAATAGCCGTAAACAAAAAGGTTTGGGAAACCACTCCCCCGAAGAAATGAAAAACAACCCTGACTTAGAGAAAGACTATATATTTAATAGTTTAGTCAAAAGAGACAAACAAGAAAGAATGCCAGGCTTCAAACTTCAGAAAGGTGACAAAGTAAAAATAGAAATACCTAAACGCGACCCATATGAAAATACTATTGACTATGACAACAATGGGAACTCGACAGGTACTCACCTTCGTGTTCGTAAAAATAGAAGAAAGTATACAAGAGAATATTATGAAGTTTTAGGCAAACATGGCAAAATGTACAGACTGCAAGCAGAAGATAAAACTACTATTGTCAGACCTCGTTTCAAACTTGTCAAAGTTCAAGGTGGTATACTTTCAAAGACAGTTCCTAACAAATATAAGACAACTCCTGACGAATATGCTAAAGAAGTTGAAAATGACGACTAAGCAATTCTATACCATGCGTAAACTGTCAAATGGCGGCATGTAATCTTTACTTTGTCCCGTTGTTTGTGTATATCCCGAAACGCGATGTGTATGGTTTCCATCTCCCTGAGTGTCACTCCAGTAACAATTTATAGCAAACTTAACCTCGTCTTTAACATCATATCCTTTACCTTTTGTCATTCCTGACCAATCCCAATATCTATGCTTATGCCAACCTGCTTGAGATGTACTTAAATCTATGTAGTGACTGTGTGCAGGTAAATTTTCACCTGAAATCGTTTTACTTCCACCTGTTTCCTTTGAAGAGTTTGCACAATACAAAAACCTGTCGACTATTTGAGTCCAAGTTCCGAGACCAAGTACTACTTCTGGTCTGGTAGAGTTCATTGACGTATAAATAGAACCTATAGGATATACTGTTTGAAGTATTTCTGTCTTTAATGTTTGAAGCTCTGTTTTGTCTGCTTTTTTATATAACTTTTCTTCAAGTTCATTTACGTCAGAGATGCTATGTCTATGATATTTTTGTGGGTATGTTCCTTCTGTCCATGCTAAAATACGTTCTTTTGTTGCATCTACATATCCTTTTATCCATGTCGAGTCTGCTTTTGTATTCCTTAACTCTGTAACACCTTTCTCAAGCTCTTTCAACTGTTGTCCATCTTCCATTAAACCTCTGGTATGACTTGAAACCGTTTGTGTCAACATATCTACAGTTTCTTTGTCGGCTTTAAGGTCTAAACATCCTGAAACCCACCCTGTATTGGCTTTACCTTCTAAAATCTTCGATGTCCGTTCATGGTACCATTCAACCATTTTTTTAATTTCTTCATCTTTTTCATCCACATATTCCTTATCTGCCTTCTTATCTAATGCACTAGCCACATATGCTAACTCATCGTTAACATATGTTTTATCCGCTTTGTTGTCAACATCTGCTTTTGTTGCATATGTTGCATCTGCTCTGTCATGTTCTTCTTGAACTTTTTCAATGACATACTCTTTGTCAGCTTTGTTGTCAACATCTGCCTTCAAAAGAAGTTCATCTATAGGTTTCTCGTTTAAAGTTCCTTTTGTTGGATTTATACAAACAGTATGGTTCTTACTGTCTTGAAATAGAAACTCGTCTGTCAATGGGTTTAATGTCAGTTTTAAGTTTCCTTCTTTCAATGACTCAGATATCTTAGAATAGTTTGAAAAGTTTGTTGTGTTCTTATTTAGAGCTTGCAAAATGAGTTGTCGGTTGTGTTTTATTTCTCTCATAGACGCTGTTTCTTTCGACATTTTTATTCTAGATAAAATATGCTTTCAATAGAAAAAGAAAATTCAAGAGTTGCTACAACTAAACCATTAGATGAACTTTTTACGAATGTCGGTCAAAAGTTTGAGACAGAGACCGTAAAGCATGAAGGCTATCGTTTTGACTACCCATTAAGATGGCTAAGAGACCCATCTGTCACAAAAGCTATTGGCTTTCGTAGAATGAAGTTTGTGTCTGTAGAAGATAAAAGTTTTCCATTTATTGTAAGGTTTCATATAGATTATATATCTGAAGGGAAACGAAAAATGTGGGAAGAAATTGAGCTAATACAAGTTGACCTTTCATCTTCTCTACAGACTGCGTTAAAAAATATAGAAGATAAAATAAATTCATGTTATGCAAAATATGCTGATGAATATGCAAATACCGAGAGCACACTTTATGTGAGAATTGTATATGACAAACAAAATTCACAAGTGTCATTTCAAATCTACGAAGACAATCCAAAGAAAGACGAACAAATATATACAGAATTCACTGCAATGTCATGGTATTATTTGCAAAGAATGTTAAATCAGAAAGTCGAACTTCCTTTAGCAAATATTTACAGTCGATATGCAAGAGATGAACCATATTTATTTAAAGATGTTTTCGACCCAGCTGCTATTATTGTTCATGCTTCATTTTCTGGCGCCCAAAACTCTTTCTTATGCTTGGCAAATGACTTTTACGAAAAACCTACAAAGTTATACGAACCACCAAGTGGAAGTATTTCAGACTTTCAAGTATGGTTTACTACAGATGGAAGAAAAAGAATAATTCCATTATACCATGCGTTTTACTTAGAACTTAGTTTCATATACAACTACTATCGAACGGTAAAAATATAATTTTTTAATACGGTTGAGGTGTTGGATTTGGTTGCCAACTTGACTGTGGTGCAGGTTCAGGCTGTTGTATAACAGGAGCTTGTTCTTCTGGTTCAGGGTCTTTAGGTATAATACCAACGAACTGACCTACTCTTTTACCAATATTTTTGACTCCGTTCCATACTCCTCTTCCTACGGTTTTTATTCCATTCCATATACCTCTTCCAACATTTCGAAAGAAGTTTCCAATACTACTGAAGAAACCCATTTTACTATATGTAAAAATCTAATGTCCGCCTAGTCTCTTACGTTTCCTGTTGAGTTCCATAGCATTCTTTAACTGGAGCTCATACATTCTGTTTCTCCTCTGGTAGAAAACATATTCTGGGTCAACTCCTGTGTTCGCGTCATCTGCATAAAGTTGTTTATATCCCACTTCAGGGTTTGTATAAAACTCTTTCCATCTCATATTTGCATACCATGGTGGCAAACCTAACGCAGCGTCATTTGACATGGCAGTTTGCATTTGTACATCTGTTGGCACTTGACCATAGTTTGCCATTGCAGTTTGTATTCTAACTTCATTTGGAATATTCTCTGGGTTTGGTTGTCCAGGTTGCTGTGCATTCGCTAAGTTCTGTGCGTCCATTTAATATTAGATAAAAATATCTCTTACGAGTACATATGCTGAACATTTGCAGGCATTGGTTCATCTTCATATTCTCTATATCTTTCTGCCACGTCAAATAAGTAAATGACACAATGGAAAAAACCTAAAACAAGTAGTCCTATTTCAAACCACATTTACTTACTAGTAAAATTTCTTTGTTATGACACTTTCTCCAGTTTATAGGACCTCTCTCATATTCTATCTTATCGTATCTAAACTCATAGTCATGTATGTCCTCTAACCATCTCATAACGGTTTCCAAACCACTTTTATCGGATGTAAAGTAAAAGCATGGATGGTTATGTAAAACGTCTAAAGTTTCTAAAGAGTCTCTCAAAGTCCAGTCTACTTGGTATTGAAAATCCCATGTGTTATAGAACGGCGGGTCCACTATAAAGAAAACATTTTCCTTGTCTTTATATTTTTCATACAACTCTGTCCAATGACATCTCACAAACTCTATACCCTCAATATATTTTTCTATGTCCTCTTTGAAAACATTTGTATAGTTAAGATATAAAACTTTTGACATAAGTGTTTCAATGTCATGAACTCTTATAGCACCACTATATAATAGTCTAGCAGATATACTATCCCAGTCTATATATTCTGCTTTTTTCAAAACCTCTCTGACAGTATTTTTCTTATCTAATGGTATACGTTCCATCTTACCTATAGGTATCTTTTCTTTTAACTCTTTCAATATTTTGTTTGTGTCTGGTATATGTTTGAGACGGTTCATATAGTTGTCGAAGTCATTGCATATAATCTTTGAGTCAGGAAATACAGTATGGCACAAATGAGATATATAGAAACTTCCACCGAACAAATCTACAAATGTTAGACCATTCGGTAGTTTCTTAAGTTCTCTCAATAGAATATCTTTACATCTACTCTTATTTCCAAAGAAGGGTAACGGTGGTTTTGTAAAATTCATTTTATATATATAATAAAAATGTTTTTTCCTGAAAAGTGACAGAAAAGTGACAAAACATGTACGAAGAAGTCTTATAAATTCAAGAGGGTAGAAAAGAGGTTAGAAAAGAGGTTATATCTAACCTTCTACCCTAAACATTATTTTTGTCTGATTTTACGAAGAAGTCTTGACAAAACATGAAAACATATATAATTTGTGAAAAGCTCCTGGAAGACCCGTATATAAGAACTTCATTTATACTAAACATCTTCAGGGCTAGAAGGCACGAAGTGCCTGGAAGCCCCACTACCTTTTTTTTTTTTTTTTTTTTTTTTTTTTTTTTTTTTTTAATTATTTTCATGAATGAAAAAAATAAACGAGTAAAAGAAATTAGAAACTAATGATTATTTGAATTTATGAAATCAATTAAAAAAAAAAAAAAAAAAAAAAAAAAAAAAAAAAAAAAGGTAGTGGGGCTTCCAGGCACTTCGTGCCTTCTAGCCCTGAGGATGTTTTGTCAAGACTTCTTCGTAAATGTTTTGTCAAGACTTCTTCATCGTAAAGACTTTGTCAAGACTTCTTCATCGTAAATGTTTTGTCAAGACTTCTTCGTAAAGACTTTGTCAAGACTTCTTCTTCGTAAATGTTTTGTCAAGACTTCTTCATCGTAAAATCAGACAAAAATATATTTTATGTTAGAATGTTAGATCTAACACGTTTTCTAACATGTTTTCTAACATCGTAGAAAACTCATGATTTCATCGTAAATGTTTTGTCAAGACTTCATCGTAAATGTTTTGTCAAGACTTCTTCATCGTAAATGTTTTGTCAAGACTTCTTCATCGTAAATGTTTTGTCAAGACTTCTTCATCGTAAATGTTTTGTCAAGACTTCTTCTTCGTAAATGTTTTGTCAAGACTTCTTCGTAAAATCAGACAAAAATATATTTTATGTTAGAATGTTAGATCTAACACCTTTTCTAACATGTTTTCTAACATCGTAGAAAACTCATGATTTCATCGTAAATGTTTTGTCAAGACTTCTTCTTCGTAAATGTTTTGTCAAGACTTCTTCATCGTAAAATCAGACAAAAATATATTTTATGTTAGAATGTTAGATCTAACATGTTTTCTAACATGTTTTCTAACATCGTTGAAAACTCATGATTTCATCGTAAATGTTTTGTCAAGACTTCTTCATCGTAAATGTTTTGTCAAGACTTCTTCGTAAAATCAGACAAAAATATAATTTAGGGTAGAAGGTTAGATCTAACATTCTAACATAAACATTATTTTTTGGTGTAAATTTCATGATTTTCAAGAGTTTTCTACGATGTTAGAAAACATGTTAGAAAACATGTTAGATCTAACATTCTAACATAAAATATATTTTTGGTGTAAATTTCATGAAAATTCAAGAGGGTAGAAAACTCATGATTTCTTCGTAAATGTTTTGTCATGATTTCTTCGTAATGCTTTGTCACTTTTCTGTCACTTTTCGGGTAAAAACATTTTTATTATTATATATAAATGAATTTTACAAAACCACCGTTACCGTTCTTTGGAAATAAGAGTAGATGTAAAGATATTCTATTGAGAGAACTTAAGAAACTACCGAATGGTCTAACATTTGTAGATTTGTTCGGTGGAAGTTTCTATATATCCCATTTGTGCCATACAATATTCCCAGACTCAAAGATTATATGCAATGACTTCGACAACTATATGGACCGTCTCAAACATATTCCAGACACAAACAAAATATTGAAAGAGTTAAAAGAAAAGATACCTATAGGTAAGATGGAACGTATACCATTAGATAAGAAAAATATTGTGAGAGAGGTTTTGAAAAAAGCAGAATATATAGACTGGAATAGTATATCTGCTAGACTATTATATAGTGGTGCTATAAGAGTTCATGACATTGAAACACTTATGTCAAAAGTTTTATATCTTAACTATACAAATGTTTTCAAAGAGGACATAGAAAAATATATTGAGGGTATAGAGTTTGTGAGATGTCATTGGACAGAGTTGTATGAAAAATATAAAGACAAGGAAAATGTTTTCTTTATAGTGGACCCGCCGTTCTATAACACATGGGATTTTCAATACCAAGTAGACTGGACTTTGAGAGACTCTTTAGAAACTTTAGACGTTTTACATAACCATCCATGCTTTTACTTTACATCCGATAAAAGTGGTTTGGAAACCGTTATGAGATGGTTAGAGGACATACATGACTATGAGTTTAGATACGATAAGATAGAATATGAGAGAGGTCCTATAAACCGGAGAAAGTGTCATAACAAAGAAATTTTATTGGTAAGTAAATGTGGTTTGAAATCGGATTGTTAGTTTTAGGTTTTTTCCATTGTGTCATTTACTTATTTGACGTGGCAGAAAGATATAGAGAATATGAAGATGAACCAATGCCTGCAAATGTTCAGTATATGTACTCGTAAGAGATATTTTTATCTAATATTAAATGGACGCACAGAACTTAGCGAATGCACAGCAACCTGGACAACCAAACCCAGAGAATATTCCAAATGAAGTTAGAATACAAACTGCAATGGCAAACTATGGTCAAGTGCCAACAGATGTACAAATGCAAACTGCCATGTCAAATGACGCTGCGTTAGGTTTGCCACCATGGTATGCAAATATGAGATGGAAAGAGTTTTATACAAACCCCGAAGTGGGATATAAACAACTCTATGCAGATGACGCGAACACAGGAGTTGACCCGAGTATGTTTTCTACCAGAGGAGAAATAGAATGTATGAGCTCCAGTTAAAAAATGCTATGGAACTCAACAGGAAACGTAAGAGACTAGGCGGACATTAGATTTTTACATATAGTAAAATGGGTTTCTTCAGTAAGATAGGAAACTTCTTTCGAAATGTTGGAAGAGGTATATGGAATGGAATAAAAACCGTAGGAAGAGGAATTTGGAACGGAGTCAAAAATATTGGTAAAAGAGTAGGTCAGTTCGTTGGTATTATACCTAAAGACCCTGAACCAGAAGAACAAGCTCCTGTTATACAACAGCCTGAACCTGCACCACAGTCTAGTTGGCAACCAAATCCAACACCTCAACCGTATTAAAAAATTATATTTTTTACCGTTCGATAGTAGTTGTATATGAAACTAAGTTCTAAGTAAAACGCGTGGTATAATGGAATTATTCTCTTTCTTCCATCTGTAGTAAACCATACTTGAAAATCCGAAATACTTCCACTCGGTGGTTCATATAGCTTTGTAGGTTTTTCGTAAAAGTCATTTGCCAAGCATAAGAAAGAGTTTTGGGCGCCAGAAAATGAAGCATGAACAATAATAGCAGCTGGGTCGAAAACATCTTTAAATAAATATGGTTCATCTCTTGCATATCGACTGTAAATATTTGCTAAAGGAAGTTCGACTTTCTGATTTAACATTCTTTGCAAATAATACCATGACATTGCAGTGAATTCTGTATATATTTGTTCGTCTTTCTTTGGATTGTCTTCGTAGATTTGAAATGACACTTGTGAATTTTTTTGTCATATACAATTCTCACATAAAGTGTGCTCTCGGTATTTGCATATTCATCAGCATATTTTGCATAACATGAATTTATTTTATCTTCTATATTTTTTAACGCAGTCTGTAGAGAAGATGAAAGGTCAACTTGTATTAGCTCAATTTCTTCCCACATTTTTCGTTTCCCTTCAGATATATAATCTATATGAAACCTTACAATAAATGGAAAACTTTTATCTTCTACAGACACAAACTTCATTCTACGAAAGCCAATAGCTTTTGTGACAGATGGGTCTCTTAGCCATCTTAATGGGTAGTCAAAACGATAGCCTTCATGCTTTACGGTCTCTGTCTCAAACTTTTGACCGACATTCGTAAAAAGTTCATCTAATGGTTTAGTTGTAGCAACTCTTGAATTTTCTTTTTCTATTGGAAGCATATTTTATCTAGAATAAAAATGTCAAATGAAACAGCGTCTATGAGAGAAATACAACACAACCGACAACTCATTATGCAAGCTCTAAATAAAACACAACAAACTTTTCAAACTATTCTAAGATATCTGAGTCATTGAAAGAAGGAAACTTAAAACTGACGATAAACCCAATGACAGACGAGTTTCTGTTTCAAGACAACAAGAACCATACTGTTTGTATAAATCCAACAAAAAGAACTTTAAACGAGAAACCTATAGATGAACTTCTTTTGAAAGCAGATATTGACAACAAAGCTGACAAAGAGTATGTCATTGAAAAAGTTCAAGAAGAACATGACAGAGCAGATGCAACATATGCAACAAAAGAGGATGTTGAAAAGAAAGCTGACAAAGAGTATGTTGACGATGAGTTAGCATATCTGGCTAGTGGGTTAGTGAAGAAGGCAGATAAGGAATATTGTGGATGAAAAAGACAATGAAATTAAAGAAAGGGTTGAATGGTACCATGAAAGGACAACAAAGATTTTAAAAACTAAAGCTGATACAGGATGGGTTTCAGGATGTTTAGACCTTAAAGCCGACAAAGAAACTGTAGATATGTTGACACAAACGGTTTCAAGTCATACAGAGGTTTAATGGAAGATGGACAACAGTTGAAAGAGCTTGAGAAAGGTGTTACAGAGTTAAGGAATACAAAAGCAGACTCGACATGGATAGCTGGATATGTAGATGCAACAAAAGAACGTATTTTAGCATGGACAGAAGGAACATACCCACAAAAATATCATAGACATAGCATCTCTGACGTAAATGAACTTGAAGAAAAGTTATATAAAAAAGCAGACAAAACAGAGCTTCAAACATTAAAGACAGAAATACTTCAAACAGTATATCCTATAGGTTCTATTTATACGTCAATGAACTCTACCAGACCAGAAACAGTTCTGGGTTTTGGAACTTGGACTCAAATAGTTGACAGGTTTTTGTATTGTGCAAACTCTTCAAAGGAAACAGGAGGAAGTAAAACGATTTCAGGTGAAAATTTACCTGCGCACAGTCACTACATAGATTTAAGTACATCTCAAGCAGGTTGGCATAAGCATAAATTTTGGGATTGGTCAGCAATGAAAAAAGGTAAAGGATATGATGTTAAAGACGACGTTCAGTTTGCTATAAATTGTTTCTGGGGTGACACTCAGGGAGATGGAAACCATACACATCGCGTTTCGGGATATACGCAAACAACAGGACAAAGTAAAGACTACATGCCACCTTACATGACAGTTTACGCATGGTATAGAATTGCTTAGTCGTCATTTTCAACTTCTTTAGCATATTCGTCAGGAGTTGTCTTATATTTGTTAGGAACTGTCTTTGAAAGTATACCACCTTGAACCTTAACAAGTTTGAAACGAGGTCTGACAATAGTCGTTTTATCTTCTGCTTGCAGTCTGTACATTTTGCCATGTTTGCCTAAAACTTCATAATATTCTCTTGTATACTTTCTTCTATTTTTACGAACACGAAGGTGAGTACCTGTCGAGTTCCCATTGTTGTCATAGTCAATAGTATTTTCATATGGGTCGCGTTTAGGTATTTCTATTTTTACTTTGTCACCTTTCTTAAGTTTGAAGCCTGGCATTCTTTCTTGTTTGTCTCTTTTGACTAAACTATTAAATATATAGTCTTTCTCTAAGTCGGGGTTGTTTTTCATTTCTTCGGGGGAGTGGTTTCCCAAACCTTTTTGTTTACGGCTATTGTAAATATTTAAAACTTGTCTCATCTTTGCCATGGAGAAATGTCTATATTTGTCGTCATATGACATTTCATCTACCTCACCACCTTGTGGTTGATTTAAATCTCTTAAGATTTTTATACAACTGTCAATGACACCAAGAGCAGAATGGTTTTGGTCGACAATGAAATATTGGTTTACATTTTTTGAACGCAGATAGTTTTTAATATCGTCTGATTTGAAAGAACTTTCACAGTCAGATGTCAGTTTTGTTGGATGGTATTTGTCAACGAATATTGTCAAAGCAGTTTTCACATCTAAAATATTTTTGGACCATAATGGTATGGCTTCACAGTATCTTGTGTTTTGACCGACAAATATTAGCCAGTATGGTGGTCCATCTTCTCTATACCTCGGAATGTTTTCCAAGATATCCATAAACCAAGCATTTGGTGTTGAACTAAAGATTTTTATCATGAGTGCTTTCTTTGTCGCTTTAGAAACATAGGGGTCCTTGTTTGGATTCGTCATTTTTTAACCCATAAGAAATGGGTTTATTTGGCGCATTAGCAGGAGTTGCATCCAGATTTTTGCCCGCAGTGGGAACAATAGCCAGAGGTGCATTTGGAATTGGAAGGAAGATTTTGAGTACATTAGGTATACTGAAAGAGAAAGCACAACCTATTATACAAACCGTACAGAAAGGTTGGGAGGTAGCACGAGATGCAGCAAATCTTATTCCAAATCCTGAAACAAGAGGAAAAGTTCAAGGATGGATGGACAATGTAGGAAGACAAGCAGGAAACTACTATAACAAAGCAAATGACTACTATAACCAAGCAGGGCACTATATGGACCAAGGTGAAAGATTCTTTAACAGAGGATATAACCATGCACAACAATGGGTAAACAATAACCAACCGCAACCACCTCAAACTTGGGGAATGTAAAGTTTTTTACTGAGATGAAATGAACAATACAGCATTGAGACAAATGGGTTCAAGATGGATTTGTCGGCTTCCAGCAGTTACACAACACGTGTTTGTCAAGTTCTTCCTATACCTCAAGAAGTTTTAGACCGACTTAAAAAACCTAAACAACCAGTTGAAAACAAACCAAACTAAAATTTTTTACTGAGATGAAATGACCGAAGAAGTTGAAACGGTAGATTTGACACCACAAACAAAAAGTTCAGAACCATTGTCAAAACCTGTCAAAGAACTTACAGATGAAGAGAAAAATTCAATAATAGAAAGTGCCAGGTCTGGAAATACAAACCCTAACTATAAAGTCACTTTTCATAGAAATGGAACGGCTAGTATCTCAAAAAAGAAACAGACTCTCACAAATAAAATATTGAAGTCTGAAGGAGCTTTCGAGACAACAGATGGGAAAGTTTACTTCACTGACCAACAGTTCATTATAGAACATCTCATTGACTTAGAGTCGAAATATTCTAAACTTTACAACAAACACAAAAAGTTGAAAGGAAAACAAAAACAAATGGCATATGATATTTATGAAGATGTTGACGACACAACCATACCTGCAAGTGAAGTAAAGTCAGGTGAACCAAAAAGTGACGAAAAACCGATAGAAGAAGGTGAGCCAAAAACTGAAGATAAACCAAAACCAAAGGTTAGTTTCCAAACTAAACCAAGTCAACCTTCATTAGCTGGTATGGGTTGGCGTCAAAGACTTATGGCAGCAGGCGGTTATGTAAAGTAAAGAAAAAAATATTTTTTTATTTTTATAAAAATGCCCCCGTATAGAATGGATAGAAGGTCTGCTAGAATAAAAGCAGAGTTAGAAAGATATGGCTGGAGAGTTTCAAAGAATTTTAAATATAGGAAGGGAAGACCCATAAAAGTTTATGACAAACTGGCTGGTCTGACCTACGAAATGGACTTGGAAACAGCGCGCACAAATTATCCAAACAGATTAGAGAGGTTAGAAGAAGAACGTCTTATGGACATGCCTTTCGATGTTAGTGAACCTCAAGTTGAAGGACACGACGGCTTTGCCAGATTCTACTGGAAACATGACGAACAATTGCATCCTTTGAGAAGGAAAAAAGGAAAAGGTGAAGATGCACATGCTCCCATGGAAAGAACAAGATATGCATATGAAAAGTACCGTGAAGTTAGAAGTCAAATTACATCTGGTCGAACCTTTACAGTAAACTTTGACGAAGGAAAGAACAAAGAAGGCTTCATGGGTGTACTTGCTGCCATACAAGACGGAAATAAGAAAGGATACAATCTCAGACTAACCATAACAGATTTGGACGGTCACATTTACTATGCACATGGCAATGTCACAACAGCTGCAATGCTTCTTGACGCTTTCAAGACTACAAAGAGAGAACAAATGGTTGACTCCGACTCAGACATTTTGAATGCAATTGAAGGAATTGCAAGTGTCAAGTTCGAATGGTACCAACCTAACCCTCAAGCAGTCAGACAACATGCTGGATACTTCCCGTTCATAAATAAGTCTGACATTGACTTGACAAGGTATGGAATTTACAATTCAATTGAAACAATTGTCAATGAACCTTGTATTCTTACATGTCTCAGGAACTCTGGTCTTGTTTCAGAAGAGAAGATGAAGTATCTTGAGTCATGTGTGAAGACAAGGTACATTCTCAGAGGTCAATTGGCAAAAATTGCACCGTTGGCAAATGTCAATATCCGAGTCAACATACCTACAGCTAAAGGTTCTTCACATGACGACTATGTTGTTGACAAAGACTTACCATGGTTGAAGATTGCAATTGTCCACAACCACTTCATGTTGAACGAAAGTCTTACAAACCCATTGTTCGGAAAAGGCAAGTGCAACATTGTCAGAGCTGTAAACATTCTTTTCGAGAAAGGTTTGTTGGAACCAATTCCAGATGACAAGCTGACAGAAACTTTTGTACCAAAAGACGAAACAAACTTTTCATTGTTAGCAAGACCAAAAGTTGTTCCAGACAAAGTTCTAGCACAAAAGAAGTACACAATTCCAAAAGGAGTTGGATTGTTCGGATACCAACCTGAACCAGAAGAACTTCCAATGAGGTTGCAAGAACTTCAAGATGCTATAAACAAACTTCCATTGAGACATCCAATTGACGTCAAATTGTATTGGAGAGCTTCTGAGTTAGGTCAGAAGGTTTTATATGAAACAGGTTGCTTCGACGATGTTTATGAGATAACAGGAGAAGTTTCTCAGAAGATAAGAGACTCACTTGAATTTCCACAAACTGGACCAATTGGTTGCGACAAGTTCGACTCAGATGAAAAGATATACTATGTCGACCTTAACGCTGCATACATGAGGTTTGTCCAATATATTCCAACTGGAATTCCAAACGAAGATGGTGAGTTCCCAGGAAGGAACTATACAGTTGGAAAAGTCATACAACAACTGTATGATATTAGGAAAGCTTCAAACCCCAAACTTGCAATGACACTCAAATTGCTTATGAATTCGACATGGGGATATTCCATTAAGAAACCTCAAGAGATGAAGAGTAAACATTATGAGAAGGTCGACAACTTTGTTGAAAGGTTCTCCCCTTTTGTTTTGAAATACGAATTTACTCAAGGTCAAGGTGGCTTAGTAACCACAGTAAAACCTATTGTCGAACATTGGTCTTACCCTCAGTTCGCAAAGGCAGTCCTTGACAACTACAACAAATTCTTCTCCGAAGTCAAATCCAAAGTGAAGGTTTACTATGAGAACATTGACGCACTCATGACGAACGAAGAAGGGTACAACAAACTCATTGAAATGGGAATGGTCGGTGAAAAGATGGGTCAATTCAAATTGGACAAAATTTTCACCGAAGTTCATGTAATATCGAAAAGGAAGTACTGGGGCATACTTGAAGACGGCACAGAAATAAAACATTGCATGAAATAAAAAATTGCATGAAGTAAAAACGTTTTTAAAACAATATATTTTTACATATATTAAATGCTTCAGGTTGAAAAACAAAGAACAAAAGTAGCAGATACAAAACCGTTAGACTATATGTTTACAAACGCCGGTAGGAATATATCAGATGAAGAAATTTCATCCCGAATTGTCTTTCATATACAACTACGGAAAAGTGCTGAAAAAGTATTGAAAAATATATTTTAGGTGAAGAGGTGAGATTTCACCTGTTTTTTCACCTGTTTTCTCACCCGTTGAATTTTCATGAATTTTGTGCTGAATTCGACAAAAATGAGTTTTTGGTTGAAAAAAGAGGTGGAGCCAAAAGTGGCTCGACCTCAAAACAAGCATTTTGTGAAGAATATACCAACCCGCGGAATTCCGGCGGTTGCTTTTTATACAAAGTTCAACAGGTGAATTTTCATGAATTTCCTTAAGATAGAAAAAAATATATTTTAGGCGACCAGGTCACTCGGTCACTCGGTCACTCGGTCAACTAACATCTTTTTGAAAAAGTGTGACAACATGACATTTTGACAACAACACAGGAAATAGATTTCATCGTATATTTTTTGTTTAGACTTCATCGTAAATGTTTTTTTGAGACTTCATCGTATATGTTTTGTCGAGATTTTTATCGTTGTGGTCCGACGGTTAAGCCACAAACGAATGTCCGACGGTTAAGCCAAAAATATTTTTTATTTTTATTGTAAGAACAGTATGACAGTCGAAGCAAAAACGTTCACGAACAAATCTAATGGCGAAACATTCACAAAAGGCACTTACAACGGTATTGAAGTCTTACGTAGAGACAAGGATGGTTATATAAATGCAACAAAGATGTGTCAGCAGTTTAGGAAAGACTTTAGAAGGTTGTTGGAAAATAAGTCCTGGGAAGAGTATTTTAAGGCATTTTGTGAAGAATATACCACCCGCGGAATTCCGCGGGTTGCTTTTTATACAATGTTAATGCAGGAATTCCGGATGAAATCAAACAGGTTAGAGGAATGTATGTAGACCCAAGACTCGTAAACTATATTGCAATGTGGGCTTCTCCAAAATATTGTATAGCAGTTGGAAAAATTATGGACTCCATAGACAAGAAAGTTCATGAGAAGTTAGATGAAGAAGAACTTGAAGATACAGTAGAGAATGCAAAACCTTTGTTTGAAGAAGAAGTTAGAAAAATGCATGAAAAACAAATAGAACATGAACGTGAGATATGTTCTGGTTATAGAGATTCTCCATACGAACTAGACCAATGGGAACAAGAAGATTTAAAGAGAGAATTTAGAGAATATGAACTCGCTAAGATAACATTAGAAGCTGCAGAAAAGAAGTTAAAAGTTTGGGGTCGTTTTGTACAAAAATATTGTGAGTAAATGAACCATTTTTTTTCGACAAAAATAATGTTTATGTTAGAATGTTAGATCTAACATGTTTTCTAACCTCTTTTCTAACATGGTCTAAAACTCTCGAAAATCATGAATTTTACACCAAAAATAATGTTTATGTTAGAATGTTAGATCTAACATGTTTTCTAACCTCTTTTCTAACATGGTCTAAAACTCTCGAAAATCATGAATTTTACACCAAAAATAATGTTTAGGGTAGATGGGTATATCTAACCTCTTTTCTAACCTCTTTTCTACCCTCTTGAATTTTCATGAATTTTCCCGAAATAAAAAATAAAGTTGGTTTTTTTAAAAAAATATTTTTTATTTTTATTGTAAGAACATGTTAGCAACAACAGCACCAAACTCGTTAGTCATGAACCCAACTTCAATGTTAGTAGAGATGAAAAGCTTCATTCCTTCTTCATATACTTTCGAAACAAAAATCCAGAAGATAAAGCAAGAACTTTTAACAAGTAATTTAGACTGTAGTGCGAAAGATGAAACAAATGAACAGTATCTTTATGAAATGCAGGATATTATTGACCATTTACCTAAACTTCCTGAAATCCAACAACAAAAACTCACTATTCCAGAATTCGATGAAATAGAAGTCGGACTGACTGACTCAGTAGAAATAAAGAAGTTCATACGAAAGGTTAACTATGAGTTTCTTGGATTTCATTGCAACCACAAAGTCATGGACAAAGACTGCGACATGGTATATAAGAACATCTCTGACCTTTACAAATCCGAAGAATTTAAGACCTACGACAACTTTGTTTCATTAGTTGCAAAATGTGTTTGGGAAATAAGAGATAAAGATAGTAGGGGTAAGGTATGGAACGAACAAATAAAACCCGCTATGTTCGAGATGAAGAAAACCATTGACGCCTTAGTTGTTTTAGCAGGTAAGGTTTCAGAATATAACGCAAAAATGAACCCACAATGTTCTAAATGTAAAGCAGCAATGAGGAAATATAACTACTCCGTCAAAGAGATAGAACGTATGCGAAACGACTATGCAGATTTAAAGAAAGAAGCAGAGAAACCAGCAGAAGATAAAATGGACATGTTGACATTTCTGAACAAAAACTATCCAACTGCTGACGATTTCCTTCTATCTGACGTCAAGAAGAAGTATAAAGAAACTTTCGGTATCGTTAAAACATTCGATGTACTAAAAGAAGAAATTGAAGCCACGAAATTGTTTAGAGTCATGAACCATCGCAACATATACCATGTAAAACGCTTGTAAATAGTTATGTTAGAAAACATGTTAGAAAACATGTTAGATCTAACATTCTAACATAAACATTATTTTTGCTGAATTCCGTATGAAATTTCATGAGTTTTGTATGTTTTAGACCATGTTAGAAAACATGTTAGAAAACATGTTAGATCTAACATTCTAACATAAAATATATTTTTGCTGAATTCAGCACAAAAATCTGAGTAAAATGGCATAAGATTGCTTCCCTCGGAAAACCGAGGATAGAGATTCCGTATGAAAATTTCATGAATTTCCTTAAGATAGAAAATAAAAGCTAGTTTTTTTAAAATATTTTTTTTATTTTGTATGTAAGAACAGGAAATGTCAAACACTGAGTTTGAAACAGTTAGAAAGATAGACAATGACACCAAAATGGTTAGAATTGGTGATTTAAACGTAAGATACTCAAAGAAATACAACAAATATTCTTTGTCAGACATTTTAACACTATCTGAAGGAAAGAAAGCACACGACTGGGTTAGAAATGCTTCATCTCAGAAAATTTTGACAAGAAATCCTGAGCTTATGATATCGGTAAGATTCTATGGAACAAGAGCATATCTCATCGACAAAAGTCTTATACCAGTAGTTTTGTTCTGGTTAGACCCAGTTGTTGGATATAATTTCATAACATATGGTTCATTCGATACGGAACGTTGCAGTGAAGGCTTACTTTACATCGTTCAGAAACCGAAGGACTTCAATACAAAGAGATATAAGATAGGAAGAACATATAATATAACTCAAAGATATGACAATACAGTCAATAGAGTCAGGGTTGTGTTTGTTAACGATATGAGAGCTGCTGAAACAGAACTACTTGAAAAGTTTGAGAAGATGTATGGTGCTCCCACGAAAGGTAAAGAAACGTTTGAAGTAGATGAGATAGATAGTGCTATAAAATTATTTGACGAAGTTGCTGAAAAATACATGTAAAGCGTTTATTTTTGGTCTTTTGTGAAAGATAGAAAATAACGCTAATTTTATTTTTTTTTATTTTTTTATCCGGAATATAAAGACAGATATGTCAACAACAGAGAACACAACAACTGCTATCGTTCATGAAGCTATAAATGAAGAATATGAGTGGGTTCAGTTTAACAAACAACTCCGTCTCATTCGTTCGGTCAAAGACGATATGTACCAAATGCAAAGTATTTTGACAGCATGTTTTGCTCCAGATACCAAACATACAGACGATTGGTTCAAAAACCAAAGCACACAAGAACTTTTGAGCGAAGCACAGCGAGACATACTTTTTTCTGAAAACAGTGAAGAACAGCGAGCCCGACTTCCATCGGGGTCGCCAAAACTCTATGAAAATCGTAAAAATTTGCCAAATGGTTTGAGAGGTTGGTATGTACATAGACTATTAGTAAATGCTGTTGCAATGTGGGCTTCACCTCGTTATGCTTGGTATGTTTGTAAACTTCTTGACGAAATTCATAGACAAGAACGTGAAGAGATGGAAAAGAAACTTCAAGCAAAAGATGAAGTCATTGAATCCAAAGACAAAAACATACAGAAAAGAATACCACGTTCGGTACCAAAAGGAAAGGAAAAGAACTATAAGTATATGATTTACACTGAAGAGATGGAAAATGAAGAAGACAGAGATATGGTTATGTTGCATTTAGTCAGAAGAAACAACAAAAGCTTTTACGACCTTGCTAAGATTTACAAATCTGACAGAAATTGGTTCTATCGCGAAAACTTACCGATTTCAATGACTCCAAATGAAGATGTGAAACAAATAGTTCAAGATACGTTACCTCAAACACACTATGATATTAAAGGTTGTACAATACTTACCTTCAAAGAAGACTTACCGCTACTGAAGGAAAAAATAACAGAGTATTTTGACAACTTCAAACAAGCAGAGTAGATGAACCATTTATTTTTACGCTTGACTTCAGATGGCTCAGGTAGCTCTATAAGGTAAATTGTCTTGTCAAATCCTTCTGGCATTCCAAGTTCTTCCTTCCGACATTCCGAGTCCTTCCATCCGACATTCCGAGTCCTTCCTTCCGACAAGAAAAAAATTTCCCGACAACTGGAAAAAAATTTCCCGACAACTGGAAAAAATTTTCCAGTTGTCCGTCCGTAAACCATTCAAATTTTCGAAAATTGAGAACTTTTTTCCCGACAACTGGAAAAATTTTTCCCGACAACTGGAAAAAAATTTCCCGACAACTGGAAAAATTTTTCCCGACAACTGGAAAAGTTCTTCCTTCCGACAGGACACAAACGAATGTCTCACGTTCCTCTTCCTGAATGCCTTCCAAAGCCAGAAGAACCGACAGCCCCAGCACCACAACAGACTTACTAAGACTAAACACTTAGATTTTTCAAGCTTGACTTTTTACAATTTGAACTTTGTTTGCGTAGATATGAATTCTGAAAGAAGTATGAGGGTCTTGTATGACTTTGTACTTCTCCCATAGTTCATGTCTGTCAAACTTACCTGCCATGGACTCTTTCATAAGTTCCATGAAATCGTCTTCGGACAATCCGGGGAAAAGTACAATGTCAGTAAGTATTCTCTTTACATCCTTACTTAAACTCTTTGCTGTCTGTACACATATGACAACTGAGATGTTAAAGTGTCTGAGCTTCTTAAGAATTCGACACATGTCTTGTTCTCTGTTCTTTAACAAAGGATGAGAAGCAAAGTCATCTAAGATAAGAAGACACCTATGAGGGTATGTCTTCCAATCGTAAGATTGCAATTTCTTCGAAATGTATTCTATCTCTTTCTGTTTGTTTCGGAAGTGTTTCTTCTCTAATATTCTCTGCATTTCCTCATTTGGGTCTTTAAACTTAGAATTTATATACTCATTTATAGCATTATACTTCAAAACTCTTCTTTGGTACTTCTTTATCCAATCTAACAACTCAGTATCTTTTTACATACTAACTTAGACTTTTTTTATAATATCTGAACGAATTTACGGTTTGATCGAAATTGACCAGAAGTACTACAAATGACTACTAACTCATAGAATGGGTTCTTCTCATCTAGTTCTTGTTGTTGTGCAGCCATTTTAAGATAAGTGAAAGTCTTACCCGACCCAGGCGGTGCGATTAGACCTGTTATACCATTCTGAGCAAATAAGAACTTGTCATGTATGGGTTTTATCTGAGCATTTTCTAACTTCCTCTTGTTCTTGTTTAAAACATTCTCAAATTTCTTGTCAATGTCAGCAAACTTTTTTTCTAACATATTTTTAGAAAAATTAAAAATTTTATCTTTTAGGAAATGTCTAGCGATTTCGCTATCTATATTCGAGACAAGCTTTTTGACTCTAAAACTTCTGTCGACCATAAAATCTTACATAGTGTAAACAAGAAAGGTGAATTTGTTCTAAAGTTCTGTTTCTGGGAATATGACAAGAACCAATAAACATTACAAAGAGCAGTCTTAAAATTTGTCAATGACAGACTTGTTGACAGAGATGACGCCGATTGGAAAGATGAAGTCCAACAAAAGTTCTTAGAATGCAAAGAAGACACATGCGCTGTTCTTGAAGATGAAATAGGAAACAGAATAGATGAGCTATTAAAGGACAAAGAACTTTTACATAAATATGGTTGCGCCAAATTTGACATAACTCCACCAGAGAAGAAGAAGAGAGAAAAGAAAGAAAAGAAAGTAGAAGAAAAGAAAGTAGAAGAAGAGAAGAAAGAACCTGAACCAGAGAAAAAGAAATTTGACATGTAAAAATAAAATTTTATTTTTAGAAACATTTCTGGGTCAATGTCAATGTTCTCTTCCTCTTTAGGACAAACACTGGCTTAGACTCTAAAATCTTTTTACCCAATTTACCTTGAACTTCAACTATCTTAGACTCATAAATAATTTATAGTCGTCTGCTTTCTTTGGTTCATAAGGTAATAACAAGTTTGTATGCTTTGCCTTTCTTTAAGGTTTGAGAACCTTCTGTCAAAATTTTCTTTGACTGCTAACAAACCTTCTATGTCTAAGTCTTCAAATTTCGCACCATTTTTAGTCACAATAGCAAACTTAACTGGTTCGATGTTCCAAACTTTGCTGAATGAAGACTTTTCAAAATGGTAGAAGTAAACATTCAAATAAGCGAATGGGTCTAGTTCTTCTTTAAGTCCTGACATATATTTGTTGACTGAAATATATTTCGTCATCTTTTCTATCGGATAAAAAAAATATTTTTTTAAAAACGTTTTAAAATGGTATGCCATATAGCTTCTTGAATTTGTTAAGAAGTATTTTAACGTATTTTCCATCTGTATCTCTATGTTTACATAAAGCATAAGCCATCCTTAGTAAAACATACTTGTAATTTCCTATAGTTTACGCCGGTATAAAGGTAGAAAGAGTCCTGTTCTTCGCTATAGTAGTAAAACTCAAACGTATGCTTGCCATAGTCTGTAATTTCAATTGCTTCATCTCTTCTCGTCGTCGACAAATTCGAATACAATATCTCTAAATTTGCTTTTGTTCTTATTGTTTTCAGAACGAGTAACCCAACGTAAATTTTCAAGTCTATTGTCATTTCTTATACGGTTTATATGGTCTACAAAAGGTAAATTGTTAGGGTTCGGTATAAAATGAGTTGCAATGACAACATGTTTTAAATAGTGTTTTCCACCCATCTTCATCCTAGCATATCCTTTATTTTGCTCACATTCGCTTAAAACTCTTTTTGTCTTTTTGTTTCTGACTTCAAATGACTCACAACAGTGAATTTCATATTTCTCATCTAACAAACAAGTTTTCCAACAGTCTTTTCCAACAAACTCAGCGTACATTTTTATAAGAATAAAAAAAATATTTTTTTTATTCTTGAGCTATTTGTTGTTCTTGAGCTATTTGTTGTTGAAGTTGTTCTTGTAATACAATACTTTCACCGGTTGCATCTTCCAATTCGAAACTTTCTGCCGTCATTGACAAATACATAGGACATAAAAGTTTTACAGGAACAAAGTTTGCGTCAACTAAGGTTAAGTTTATGTTTGCTAAAGTGTTTGAGTTTACTAAAGCTGAAAACTCTGCATTCGAATGAACAATAGGCAAACCAGCAGAGAAAGTGTTGTTTATACGCATGAGTATCTTTTGGTCATAGTAGTTTCTGTCGACATTCGAATAGCACTTTGAACCTAAGTTTGAAACAATATATAAAATAGGTGTGCTTAACGTCAATGGAACAGACATTCCTTGTATGACACCTTTTCCTGTTATAGGAAACTGTTGGTAGTAAAACCAGATATAAGTTTTGTATTATAGCTCATATCGTTTATAGTAAACTCAGTCGGACATCCAAACATAATGAAACCTGCTCTAGTTGCAGCACATGTTACATCCGTCCTTAAAGTATTAAATAAGTCAACAAAACCTGTTGGTGGTATATCTGAGTAAGTATCTTCAAAGGAGTATTTTTTACCATTCACAACAACAAAGTCTTCTGGTGTCAAAAGAGCAAAACAGGCTTTAGTCGTCATTGTGTTTAAGGTTAGTTTACAATATCGTCCTTGAGGACTTTGTAAGTTTGTTGTTATAGAATTATATGACTCAGGGTTTTTAGTCGTAATAGTATAAACCACTATGTCTTCTGCCATTTACTTAGCAAGTAAATTTTAATGAAATGTTGTGGTCGTCAAATATTTTTATGACGTCTGGGAAACTATATTTTAAGTTCAACGTTTCACCTCCTTTCATAACGTATATCTTGTCAATGACATTATATGAAACACCACAGCAACTAATGTCGGGTTCTATTTCTTTGATGTTTATATCGTCTGCCTCTGTCAAAAGTTTCAATAGTTCTTTCAAAATTTCATGAGGTGCGATGACATATGAGTTCACTTTTACAGGGTTGTGTTCGACCAAGTTTAACATTATACCCAAAGCCTGACAAATCTTCTCCTGAGTTTTAAGTTTGTCTTTAAGTTGTTGGTAGTCGTTTCGAATATCTGCAACAGAACTTAAGTCTCTGCTAACTTCAGGGTATGTTGGTTCTTTTACAGGAACTATTGTTATACCATCTTCGTCTTCGTATGGTTCCCCACTTCAACATCTCTTTCTTTGACATTGACAACAACACTTTGACTGTTTGTTTGAGTTGGTGAATTTAACTTCACATCTGCCACCGCCATTAAACCTTTTGAAACACTTACGCTTCTATTTTCGGAAATGACATTTTACTTAGAATAAAAAGATGGACGTATTTGAGTATCTCTTCGAATTGAAGCAAAACAAAGTTTACACACACAAACAATACAAGTTCATTGATAGAATAGTTCTTTATACAAACAATGGAAAATGTTATAGAATAGCAGTCTTTGCTGAACCAAAATATTTCCATAAAGCAAAGAAAGTTGGTATAACTGAAATGGTGAAAGTTCTTGAAGCAGACAAAAATATAACAACAAAACTTACAGATATTTCTAAAGGTAAGTTTATAATACAATTTTATGTCAAAACTGGCGTACTGTCAATATTTGACGGAGAGAAGTCAGTTCAAGAACAACTTACTGACCTGCTGCCAAAATCTGCTCGATGGAAGCTGTCGTTATACCAATCTGAGGAGCCCCAGCAGGTTTCATCGAACGAATCTTCAAAAGAGCATCTTCCGTGAAAAGTGCTATTGGTTTTGTAAACTTCTTTGCTTTCAATTCATTTGGACCGTCTCTGTCACCAGTATATTGTATTTGAACTGTACCAACAGTTGAAATACCACCCATAAAGTCTTCTGAGTCAGCAAATGGAATGCCAAGCCAAAAGTTTGAACGGTCTCCATTTGTATATTGAGTTTTTTGACCTCCTGTATGAGTCCATACTTTCACATATGGCATAATAGAACTTTGCATTTCAGGGTTAATTGTTGTGAAGTTGTTGTTAAAGTTCATAGCATCTAATGTCAAGTTGTATGACCTCATATCTTCAACTGTGGAATATTCTTCTCTTGGATAGTATTTGCCATCTATGTTTATATGGTATTTTAATACCAGGGTTGTAGAAGCAAGAATAGTCATTTATAGTTCGTCTGAACAGTACAAACATAGTATCTGCATGTTTCATTGCAGTTGTTAAAGCAATATCTGTTCTTGCACCTGGGTCAGCACTTTGGTTTCCAACTTCACCTGCAAAGTCTTTGACAGATATTTGGTGTATAGGGAACATAAGTGGAACTGCAATATATTTGGCAGCTAAAGCATTTGAAATATCTGGGTCCAACATATAGACTGCAAGTCTGCTTTCTATTCTCTTGCATTCAAATTTTTCGCATGTGAACTTAACTGGGTCCCAAGCATCTCCAGCAGCATTGAAATAATAGTTTACTTCAGTGTTGAGGTTTGAGAAACCAAAGTCTAAGTCAACTTTGTTTTTGCAAAAGTCACAGAACTTGGCTCCACCAGTTCCAGCTACAGTAAGAGTGAATGGGTCTTGTGTTGGTGCAATGACTAAGTTATTTTTGCTTGGAGTAAGTTCAATAGAAATTTTTCCTGCCCAGTTTGCAAGTATCTTAAAAACCTGAAGATGAGGAAAGATGACAAAGGAACTCTAAGTTTCAATTTTACTTTGGTTACTGCTGCTGCAGTTTGTCCAGAAAGGTTAACATAAACTCCTGGAACGTTAGGGTCAAGTCTTCTTATTTTCTCAATAGTTGCATACTGGTCTGTTTGTTCTCTAGCTTGTGGTTGTACTGAGTTTCTCAAAGCGAACCATTCATAGTTTGCCCCATGTACTGTTTGAACTAAGTCAGAGTTAGAATATATCTTATATCCATGAAAACTTCTGGAGCATATTGGTATCCGACATAGAAAATTCCATTGCAACCTTTCTTGTCAGACAACTTGGCAGAAGGTTTTATTTCAATGTCTTGTTCCACGTATAAGAAAGAGTTGTCAATAGAAATTATATGAAACCTGTCGCATGCAATATCTACTGTTGTTGAAGAACCTTCTCCAAACTCACCTACGTTTCCATAAGAAACAGCAGTTGTATATTCGTAAGTTCCAGGAACTATTTCTGACCTTCTAATGGCATTGTCGCATTCGTTATACCATTCGGAAACATTTCCATTCATAGCATCCAAAACTGTTGGCGTTATATTCTGAGCGGCGTACATTTCATATGAGTAAAAATATAGAATAGTTGGATTTATATGTCATAATAGAACCCACTCCGACCAAGCTTTACTTTCTTCCTGACTGAGTTTTTAACTCTTCTTTTTCCTTCATTGCCCTCTGCTTGAAGTTGTTGCATCTTTGCATTATGTTCATCTAGTATGTTGCAAATTTCCCATGTCCTTTTTGCCTTTGGGCTCTGGTCGCCCATCTCAGGTAACCTATATCCTAGAAAGATTTTGTCATAGTTTGTATTTGAGTCTTCGCGTATTGTTTGCATGACTCTTTCCTGAGTTTCTGGTTCAAGCTCTTCAAACAGTGCCTGTCCATATGGAATATGCTCGTTTCCAAATATATGTTTTTGTAGCCATTCTGGTTTTCTTTCCATGTTACCAACAATATCTTTTGTGAATGGGAAAGCTTTTACCCAACGTTTCAGGCTTGGGTCATTTATTTCTGTAGTTGGTTTTATTTTGTCAAGGAACATGTTTTTCAATACTAACATTTTCATTTTGGTACTGTCCATTGAGTTTTCTTAAATATTCATCCCTTCTCGGTTCATTGTCTGCAAAGTAAGTTTTTATGACATTTTGTAAACTTTCGTTTGCAAGGTCATGTACAATAGGTTCTCTTCCTTCGCTCTCCCTAACTTTCTTTCTAAACTCTTCACCAAATATACCATCTCTATGGTTCTGTGTAGTTCTTTGAGATAAATGTTCTAGAACGTCAGGTGTTATATTTCCATCAGCCATGTTCATTTCATACTGGTCCAAAATATCTGCATGTTTCATATCTTTTCAATGGCATTAAAGCGCGCTGAAAATACCAGCTATATCTGGTTCACCATTGACTTCCATTGCGTCTACAACTTCTTGGAATTGTGGTTGTAAGTTTATGAACCACCTATCTGGATTAGCTTTATGACCCCATCTCATTGTAGTTCCATCGTCTGCAGAAACAAAAGTAGGTTTGTTTCCATCTTGGCTAGGTTCTGAATGAACTTTAAACAATGTTTCATTTCTATATGTTTTCTTGAAATTTAACCTTTTATCTTCACCGAGTTCATCCGAAGATTGAACGTTAAATGCTCGTAAGTAAAAAGGGTTGTTGTATTTGTGTACATTTTTTTTCAGTTCTTCCATTCTATGCTGAATATTTCATCTGGTGTTGGAGTCTTTTGTATGTCGGCAAACATTTTTCGATATTCTTCTACTATGTCAGCCGAATCTTTCTTAGACTCTTGGAAAGATTCCATATTCACCTCATGCTCTTGTTGAGGGTCAAGAATTTTCGGCTGTTCCAAATCTTCATCTAGTTCTGTGAAGTTAGTTTCCAAAGGAAGGACTTGTTCGTTTCCTTCAGGCTCTTCTAGCTGTTGTTGCTGAACTATTTCTTCCATGTCTGGTTGTATCTGAACTTCTTCCTGTGGAGTTTCTTGTACCTCATCTGCTGGCATTTCATATATTCCGAGACCGTTTTCAACAATTTCCCTATCTACGTCATCCGCATTCATAAGCTTTTGTTCTTTCGTTCCGTCTCTATTTTTACGCGTTTCATGACGAAAGTTGAATTGTCATTTAGCTCTGACATCAAATATCTCGGAGTAAATTCATCCATGTCATTTGATGATATGCTATTAAATCATATCCCTTAGCGAGCTTGTATTTTCCAGGTTTGAGATTATATCCGTTTTGGTGCTGAGCCATAAAGCTAAATAGGTTCGGGTCAGTATTTCCATCCTTGAACTTTCCAATAGCTTCTTTATATCTGTCACTAAAGTCAATACTATCTGGGAAACCACACTCTTCTTTAAGCATTTTTAAGAATTCTTGGTTTCCTTGTTCTCTACTTCTTTTATGTCCTTGCTCTGTTTGTGGTTGTTGTTGTGCTGGATTTTGAACTGTTGGTTGCTGTGCTGGATTTTGAACTGTTGGTTGCTGTGCTGGTTTTTGAACTGTTGGTTGTTGTGCAGGGTTTTGAACTGTTGGTTGTTGTGTTGGTTGTGGAGGTGGTTGTTGTGCTGGTTGTTGTGTTGGTTGTTGTGTTGGTTTTGGTGCATGCCTGTGTCTGTGTCCATGTGACGATGTAAATGTTCTAGGTAGTCCTGGTGCAGGTGCTTCTCTTGGAGGGTTTGGTGGTATATAAGTTCCACCAGCTGGCACATATGTTCCATCTGCAGCGTAATGTCCTACCTGACTTTTCGTTCTTAAGAAAGCATTTACTAGGTCTGTTTTGGTCTGTTGTAACTCTTTTTCTTGACTTTCCACAACAGTTGCTCTAACGGCGTCATAGGCACTTTGAACTGCCTGTCTCGTTGCTGCATCTGTTATTTTCGTCATATTTGTGCTACTTCTTTTAACTCTTTGTCGAAACCTTCAGACTTCAGTTTCTTTCCAGATGAGAAGTCGTTCACTTGTTTCACCTTACTATGAAGAGCTTCGAAAGCGTTCTTAAAGTCAGCATTCGTTAAAGCTTCATTTGAACTGTCTTCATCCGCTTGTATTTTTGTCCTTATTGACCCTATGAGTTGGGCTGCTTAGCGTTGGCTTGGCATCTAACCAGTCATTATTAGCTTTTATATATTCTGCGCTTTTCATTGCCTTTTGCATAGCCGCGTCGTTTTTTTACTTTCTTGTGCTAAGTTTTCATACTGTACGGTTTGGTTTTGCAACTGTAAAAGTTTTTCTGCCTTTACATTTGCTTCAACTTCTTTTTTATACTCATCGCTATCCATATATGTCTTCAGGGCTTTTTGTTTTATCTCTTCATCTTTCAGTATTTATATTGAGTAGTATGGTTTTTCAAATTTATGACATCTTGTTCCATTTTTGCTACTTCTGCTGCTTTTTCTGACACTTTTTTCGCATATTCCTCTGTACTTAGTTCTTTCAGTTGTTCTTCTTTCTTCTTTTTCTCTACGTTTAACTCATTGAGTTTCTTTGTGTGTCTGTCATATTCTAGTTTCTTTTCGTTTTCGCTTATTTGTTTCTGTATGTCTATGTTTGACTTTTTGACATCTGTTATTTGATTTTTGAGTGAACTCAAATTCATTTGACTTTGAGGGTTATAGGCTGTTCCGTCTGCAGCTCCACCATAGCCTGCCATTTTCGCTAAAAGTCCCGCTCTTAAACCTCCACTCTGTGCACCAAGAACTCGGTTTAAAAGCATAGGGTTGCTTGACATTTGTTGCAACATAGTGGGGTCATTCAGCATTTGTTGTTGCAACTGTTGTTGTGGTGTCAGTCTTACTATTGGATGTTTCAATGCTCTCTTCCTCTTACGTATATTCTTACGTAGCTTACGTGGCATTTTAAGTGAAGTTAAAAAGCGGCTTTTGACAGATGTTTATATGACACTTTTTCAGTAAAGACTTTGTTGAGATTTCTTCGTAAATGTTTTGTCAAGACTTCTTCATAAAGACTTTGTTGTGACTTCTTCGTAAAGACTTTGTCAAGACTTCTTCATCGTAATGAGTGTAAATGACCCAAAAATATATTTTATGTTAGAATGTTAGATCTAACATGTTTTCTAACATGTTTTCTAACATGGTCTAAAACATACAAAACTCATGAAATTTCATACGGAATTCAATAAAAATAATGTTTATGTTAGAATGTTAGATCTAACCTCTTTTCTAACATGTTTTCTAACATGGTCTAAAACATACAAAACTCATGAAATTTCATACGGAATTCAATAAAAATAATGTTTATGTTAGAATGTTAGATCTAACCTCTTTTCTAACATGTTTTCTAACATGGTCTAAAACATACAAAACTCATGAAATTTCATACGGAATTCAATAAAAATATATTTTATGTTAGAATGTTAGATCTAACCTCTTTTCTAACATGTTTTCTACCCTCTTGAATTTTCATGATTTCATCGTAAATGTTTTGTCAAGACTTCTTCGTAAATGTTTTGTCAAGACTTCTTCGTAAAGACTTTGTTGAGATTTCTTCGTAAAGTTCTTCATCGTAAAGACTTTGTAAAGTCTTTCTCATGAACTTTCTTGTCAATGTTTTGTTGAGACTTTGTAAAGTTCTTCATCGTAAAGACTTTGTAAAGAAAGTTCATGAAAATTCATGAGGTTAGAAAAGAGGTTAGAAAACGTGTTAGATCTAACATTCTAACATAAACATTATTTTTGTCTGATTTTACGAAGAAGTCTTGACAAAACATTTACGATGAAGAAGTCTTGACAAAACATTTACGAAGAAGTCTTGACAAAACATTTACGATGAAATCATGAGTTTTCTACGATGTTAGAAAACATGTTAGAAAACGTGTTAGATCTAACATTCTAACATAAACATTATTTTTGTCTGATTTTACGAAGAAGTCTTGACAAAACATTTACGATGAAGAAGTCTTGACAAAACATTTACGAAGAAGTCTTGACAAAACATTTACGATGAAGAAGTCTTGACAAAACATTTACGATGAAGAAGTCTTGACAAAACATTTACGATGAAGAAGTCTTGACAAAACATTTACGAAGAAGAAGTCTTGACAAAACATTTACGATGAAGAAGTCTTGACAAAACATTTACGAAGAAGAAGTCTTGACAAAACATTTACGAAGAAATCATGAGTTTTCTACGATGTTAGAAAAGAGGTTAGAAAAGAGGTTAGATCTAACATTCTAACATAAACATTATTTTTGTCTGATTTTACGAAGAAGTCTTGACAAAACATTTACGATGAAGAAGTCTTGACAAAACATCCTCAGGGCTAGAAGGCACGAAGTGCCTGGAAGCCCCACTACTTTTTTTTTTTTTTTTTTTTTTAATTATTTGATTCATTCTTTCTTCAATAATTTCTATTCTTTTTGTTAAATCATCAATTTTCATTAATGAGGTGATTCTTGATTGAGGAATAGATTTTAAACTAACAACACCTTTTATTTTTGAAATTTTGAATCCATCAACTTTAAACATTTTATTCAATTTACATGTTGTCAATTCTTCAAATAATTTTTTATTATTAGCATAATAGTCATTAAATTCTTCAACAGATGAAAAAATTTTTATTTCAGTAATGGGTTTAACAATGTTTATTTTATTTTGAACATCTTCACTTTCATTTATTTCTTCCTTCTCTGTTTCATTACTTTTTAAAATCGGTTTCATTTATCATTAAATAAAAATTAGAATATAAGTGATGAAATATATTTTTTAATTAATATTAAATCAGAAATGGCGGCAGGATTCTTTAAAAAGTTATGGGAAGGAATTAAGAAAGCAGCAAGTTGGGTTCATCAGAAAATAATAAAACCCGTTGCAAACTTTTTGGCACCAGTAGCGAAAACGGCAGGAACTATCATAGGTGGAGTATTAGGTGCTAAAGCAGGTAATCCGGGATGAGCACAAGCAGGTAACGCAATTGGTGGAATTGCTGAAGGAATACTTAATAAAATAGGAGGAAAGTAGTGGAAAAATAAATATTATTTTTATCTCAATATCGGTTGTAGTCTTTGATAAAACT